AAATCGCCTTTTATATCAAAGAAGACAGAACGATACAGAACGAATGACAGAGAACCACAAATTTTCTTGTAAATACCTCTTCCGAAATGTGACTCTGCGTTGCTTGTCATTTTTTTTTTTTTTTAATGCTTGTTGTTTTACTGTTTAATTGTATTTATGTGTGTTGTTTGCAAATGATAGATATCCGGATATGTTTTTTGTTTATTGCATATGAATATTGTGTTGTTATAAGATGCTCTTTATATTTTATACCGAATAAATGTTATATATGGTACCTATTCAACATTTCTTTTGTACCTGTGTAAATTAGTTTAAATGGCTAAATAAGTGAATACATGAATAAAAGATTAATAGATAAATCAAATATGAATATATATATATATATATATATATATATATATATATAATATATATATATATATATATATATATGAACACACATGTATACATAATCCCCGGAAGCGAAGGAATCTCTGATTACGGCGGGGATAAGGATCACTACGGAGAGAGGGTACTAAATTTCTGGTTAAAGACAGGCTGCCCCACGATGAATCTTTACATATATAGCATAAGGACTGAGGACTGAATGCGACTTAAGGAACACTCAGTAAATGGGACGTTGTATGATTCTGTGGAGTTAGAAGACTTTGCGAAAAACAGAAAATACTAAATGATGGGCATGTGCTCTTTTGGAGAGGGAAACCCCAGGGCAACGAATTAGGGGTATGTTTCCTAGTTTACAAAGGCTTAGAAAAGAATATCGTGGAATTCTATAGTGCAAACGAAAGAGTGGTTTCAGTAATGATAAAACTGAACAAGTGAACTTAAAAATTGTTCAAATTTATTTACCAACCTATGCCATACTGATGAAGAAAAAGAGAGCTTCTATGAAGAAGTGCATCATCACAATAATGATGGGAGATTTTAATGTATAGATAGGTAAAAAGAGAAAGAAAAACCGTTGCTGGGAATCACAGAATAAGCACCAGGAATGAGAGGGAACAATCGATTTTCCTGAGGATCAACCACACGATATCACGCACACACACAAAATAGGCGCATGGTAAAAAATGTATACCTATCAATAAAGTGAATGCTGGAAGTGACCATAGAATGGTCAAAGGCGAAATTAAATCGCACCTCAGACGTGAAAGGGGTAAACTCGGACGAAAACTTGAAGACCAGGACGAAAGAATGACTAAGGTCATGTTCAACAGTACAGTTCAGTTAGAACAGATGCATGTACAAGGCGAAGTGTTAGAGGTAGTGGGCGAATATATATATCTATGGCAATTCATACAAACACATCCAGAGGAGAGGCAAGAAAGCGACGCATCAGTCTAGGCTGGAGCGCTTTCGGCAGACACAGTAGTATGCTAAGAGGTTCCTTGCCATAATTTTTGAAAATCAAAGTCTTTAACCAGTGCTTCCTCCCAATCATGTAATATGAATCAAAAACATGGGCTACAACCAAATTGCTGGAGAGGAAACTAGTAAGTGCCCAGAGAGGAATGGAAAGGTTGATGCTTGGAATTAGCCAAAGGGAGGGCTGAGGGCGACGTGGATCAGGGAACAGACCAAGGTGGAAAATATACTTGACAACATTAAAAAGGAGAAATAGCAACGGGAAGGTCATATATGCAGAATACAGGACGACAGATGGACAAAGAAAATAACAGACTGGGATATACATAACATAAGAAAGCCAAGGGCCAGACCAATGACAAGATGACGTGACGAAATAATGGAATTTGGGGACCAAGAATGGTAACAAAAACTCCAGACAGAAGCGGGTGGAAGAGATTAGGAGGCCTACATCCGCAGTGAACTGGTACAAGTGGGATGATCACACACACACACACACACACACACACACACACACACACACGCACACGCACACACGCAAAACACACACGCGCACAAATATAATATACATACATAACACATTTATGTTTATATATATTCATATACACACACACACACACACACACACACACACACACACATATATATATATATATATATATATATATATATATATATATACATATATATATACATGATCATAAACCAGAAAAACGTTGCTGGTCGTAGATGTTAACGTAATAAGGTCGAATCAGGGAATAACGGAGTTCTCCATTAATTGTTCCTGTTCCCTCTCTTCGCTTTCCTAATTCCTTGCGTCTTTCTCTTTTCGCTCTCTATCCTTCTCCTTCTTACCTTTCCTTACTCTCCCATTCCCCTTCCTCTCCTAGTGGAACCTTCTTCCACCTTCACCTTCGTCGTCTGCCTTCTCCCTCACACCACCCTCACACACACACACACACACACATATATATTCACACACACACCCTCACTCACACACACACACACACATACTCACACACTCACTCACATACACACATACACACACATACACAAAGGCACATATTTCAATTCGGACAGAACTCCATGTCGACTTAACCCGAATTTTTAGTCTAGATTGGATCCACTTTTTTCGTTCTTCGGATCTAGATTCATATATTTGCTTTTCACTGAATATTGATCTTTACGACAAATGCAGAAAAAAATATGAATGGGGATACATTTTCAGAGTAATGTGTTTGGATGGTTTCGAGGAATATACAACCGAAATTGTCAAATACATCACTGTGAAAATATTCATTCTCTCAAACATTTTTTTTTTATTCATTACTTTTCGTTCCAACATTGTTTTTGTTTGCATTCTTTAACTAGAACTTGATCAAGAGTAATGAAAAAATAAGAAATAGAGGATAAAAAGCTGTAAGACAACCTATATTATATATCAGGTTAATCTCATCGTCATATATATTTTCTCAAAACTAGTTATACTTCAAAAATCGTTGGCAAAAATATTTACATTTCCAAAGCACCAAGTATACCTTCGACTAGCATCATAATATATCCACTATATTTTCATGTTTTACAGACACTGATGTTTTCCTTGAACTCCCGAATTCCCAAACGAGCAATAGAGAAAACAGTCATTACTTAGGCAATTGTCCTCTGTCCGTTCCCTTCTTTCTCTCACTCTCTCCTATCTTTCCTTCCTCCTCCCTTCTCATCTGCATCTTCCTACACCCCCCCTCCTCTCTCTATCCATGCGCTCCTCCATGTATCCAACTTTATCTCTCACATCTTTCTCCTGTCATTTCTCTCTTTCTGTCCTAGCTTCTTCTTTCCTACCCCTCTCTTTCTCTGCCTCTTTCCTACTTTTCAGAATTTCCCTTCTTTCCTACTTTTCCCCCCTTTTCCTTCTCTCTGTGCTAACTTCTTTTCCCCGTCCTCCTTCTCTCTCACACACCCTCTCTTTTCTAACTTTCCCTTCTTATCATTCTCCTCCCACCACCCGTCTTTCCCATCTTTTCTCTTTGTCCTTCTTTCTCCCACCCTCTCTCTCTCCTGCTTTCCCCTCCTAGTCCTCCTCCTCTCTTTCTTCTACCTTCTTCTCTCCCTTCCCTTTTTCCCATCCCCCATCCCACTTTCTTAACTACCTTCCCCCACATTCTCCTCCCACCTCCCTTTTCTCCCCGCCGGCACGCCCCGCCCTCTTCGTCTGACTAGAACGCCGCCGCTGACCTTCTTGGCCAACGTATATATATAAGGTCGCGCTGTAGTCTGGCCATTCCACTCCCTCCCTCGTCCTCCTGTGCCGCCGCTAACCTCGGTCCCTTAAGACAACCGAAAATGAAAGTATGTTTGAACTAACGCCATGGTGTGTTCCTGAAATGTTTACCCTTGGATTAAACCACTTCTGTTTGGATAATGCATCTCGTGGGTGAAGTGAAAAGTATAGGTTGACAGATCTTTAGGTTGGAAAATCTTCATTATTTTGCATAATATGTTGGCTAAATTTGCCTTTTCAGGTCTTCGTCATCGCCGTCGTCCTCACTGCCGTGCTCGGGGCTCCTCGGCCTCAGCAACAGCAGGCAACAGCACCCGTTTATGTACGTGACATTGGTTTCTGTTTAGTCAACTTTCTAACAGCAACATGTTTTTTTATTAGATGTTTTTGTCTGTCATTTTTCTAGGCATCCGATACACTATTTCCGCATCATATCAAGTGTCAGATTTAGCTTGATCTTTCTTGATAAAACCTATTCTTCCGTAAACTTCCGGCTCATCTCATACCGTCCCGTTTTTAGTACTGCCTGAGATAAATTCTAAAATCCCAAATAGCTGTAGGTTATTTAGCGTGAGCCGCTCTACCAAGTCTCGCAGCCCCTCCTAAGCCCTGTTCTGTTCTCTCGCTCCGCCCCTCGCGCGCTGCAGCCCATCATCCCGTACTCGTACCAGTACGAGACCAGCGACGCCGCCACCGGCAACTTCCACAACAAGGCCGAGCTGAAGACGGCTCTCGGCGACGTGTTCGGCTCCTGGTCCGTGCTCATGCCCGACGGCTTCATCCACACCACCTCCTACAACGTCACCGGAAACAGCGGCTTCCTTCCGGTCATCGTGAAGACGCTCCCTCAAGCCTCCGCCGGCGCGGCCTCAGCAGCCGCCGCTGGAGGCTCTTCGGCCTAAATGCAGGTTGTCTTAGCGAGCCTTGGCCTTCGCGGCGACCCGCGTCCTAAGTCATTGCGGTTCTTGTGCTCCTTCGCTCTTCTTCGTCTCCTTCTCCGGTTCACGTCGGCGCTAAATTTGTTCTGCATTTCCCAAAGAAATCTAATCACCTTTTATCAGAAGAAGAAACAGAACGAGAGACAGCGGAGAAGAAAGAGGAGAAGGGCGACTGAAAGAGAACCACAAATTTTCTTGTAAATACCTCTTCCGAAATGTGACTGCGCTGCTTGTCATTCTATTCTTTTAGCTTATTATTTTTAATGTTTGTTTTTTATTTGTTTCTATAATTTGTTTATGTTTGTTGTTTGCAAATGATAGATATCCGGATATGTTTTTTGTTTATTGCATATGAATATTGTGTTGTTTTATAAGATGCTCCTTATATTTTATACCGAATAAATATTATATATGAT